AGAGTCTGTTTGTGAAACCACGCCCGCCTGTGCGTGCACACACACACGAACGCACAGACATGCGTGGAGCTCCCCGGGTGGCACACGTGTGTGTGTATGCGTGCGTGTGCGTGTGTGTGCGCGCACGGGCTCTCAACACGCCGAGGGGAGACACTGCACAACGGTTCACACGGGTGCTGCCTTCTCCCCTTTCCATAGGTCCACTTTAAAGCCTCTCTGTACCCCAGTCACCCCATCACCGAAAGCACGCTGCACATCCCCACTTACAGCTGGTCAGGCAGGAGAAAAGGAAAAGAGGGACCCAAAAAAAAAATAATCTCCAGGGAACCAAGAGCAGCCGTCCCCCCCCCCCACCCCCCAACCGTTGCCTGCAAAAGGAGGCAGAATATACTAATGGCTCTTTCTGGTCTGAAATCACTGGGCCCTGTCCAATGCGATCGTTTTGTCTTTACTTCTACAGGTACAGTATATGGAACTCATGGGAGACGAGGGAGGCAAACTTACACCAGATACCAAACGCTAGAGTTAGAGAAGGAATTTCATTTTAACAGATACTTAACCCGAAGACGACGTATTGAGATTGCAAACGCTCTCTGCCTTACTGAACGCCAGATTAAAATATGGTTTCAAAACAGGCGGATGAAATGGAAAAAGGAAAACAAATTCATAAATTCCACACAGCCCAGCAGCGAAGAAACAGAGGAAAAGTCAGGGGAGTAGAACCACGTTTAATAAACGCTACCAGGCCTTTCCTTAGCACTTACTATTGCTATTATTATTTACCTTGTGTTCCTTCTGCTACTAAAATCCTATCGGTTTGTCACAGTCTATTAATTCCCAAAAGGCTTGGTTAAAAGATGTACATTTGCAATCATCTGTGACTTTCTTTAATATATGTGGAAGTCCTAGCATTCGAGCTACAGGCATGTATGTATATAACCACCCTTCCAAAGCATAGATGGCGTTGCTTAAAGTATTAGAGAAACGGCCCAGATTTTGAAATATTTGAGGTGAGCATCTGTGTATGGGTGAGTGTCCCTGGTGTGCCTGTATGAGAAGATATAAGCGAGTGGTTTTGGTTCTTTTTTTTTTTTTTTTTTTAATTAGGAATGTTCATATTGTAGAAATACGAGAGATTTTAGAAAATCTTGAGTTTATGTTTTTGCTAACTCCCGCTACGTCGGGCCATCTCGTTATGCTGTGTTTGGGAGCTTATGGTCTGCAGGGGAGAAAAAAAAACCTTCTACGCATGTATAAAATATTTAAATAGCAAAAAGAAGAAAGATCCTTTTAAAAAGTCGTTGTATAAAACCCTGGGTATAAACTTGCAGTTAAAGCGAAGATGAATTGCAGGGAGATTTTTAAAATGCCGCTAAACTGCCTAATCTGCACTACTAGTATTTAAGTAAAAACTCGGCGTTAAACTTCAGGGGAAGCGAGGGAAGAGGTTTCGAAGCAGGCGAATTTCTGTGGTTCGCGTTGAGCTTACACTGAGGTTTCCGTGAGCTCAGCTCTACACTGAAGGGGCTTTGAATTATGGACTACATTTCTTGGGGCTTCGTGGGCTTGGGTCGATCTTTCTTTTTCTTTCTTTTTTATTTTTTCTTTCTTTTTTTTTGGTTTTGTTTTATTAAAAGGAAAGTGTCTGTCAGATTAACTCGGGGATCTTCTTCTTTCCCGCTTTTGTGGTATCTTAGTTCACATTCGTATTTCATAGCACTGGAAAAAATAAATAGATACTCTAAAGAAAAGCAGCTGCCATAAAATGCTTCCACTTCGACTTCTGTATAAGTAAAAGAAGCGCAGCGAAAATATTGATTAATATATACATTATATATCTCTGTATTATATTGTATGTGTGTAAGTGTGCATGTGAAGCTGCGTACAAATACACTTGTATACGCATCAAGGCTCTTTTGTTTGGAAGGCAGCGCGATTTGGGCTACCGCCCTAAATATTTTAAAAGCCAAATCTAGAAAATACTAATGCAAAATGGCTACCGCTGCATTTAGAGTTGTTTGGTGGTTTGTTTCTTTGTTTTGTTGTTTTGTTTTTTTTTTGTGTGGTGTTTTTTTTTTTTTAATGGAAACTTGGTTGAAGTCTCCTTTCAAAATTCTGTTGCTTGCTCAAATGCAGATATTATTGGCATTTTTTATCTTACATAGGCCCCTGCCATTTCACATCGGCAGGACCCGGGTCCCTCTCGAAACCTCTGGCACGGGAAAAAGGGAGGGGGGCGCAAAAAAATAATCTAAATTTATAGAGAAGGGACATAAGCGTTGCCAGCGTCCGAGGATGGATCATG